TTTTAATCCATTCTTTTTGCAAATTGCTCATTGTAATGTCTATTTTCATTTAATGGAATAATATTTCAATTACTTGTTTTTACAATTCCTTTTTTCCCACTTGTTAGTTGGTTCGTTTTTAGGTCATTACCTTGCGTCTTGATGAATCTCTTGAACCATGCTTGATTTATCTTGTAAGATTTATTTGTATGTGATTCCTATGTGTTGGTTAACATGTTAGGTTTGCCTTCCTTTGGTGGTTACCTTAATTTTGTTATTCTCTTCCTAAAATCATGAACTTAACTGTTGTGAACATTCTATGCGTATTTTGATTGTCATCAATGCCTAATGTTGTTACATTCGAACTCATAGCATGATCATCTTAAGTTGTGACTTATTTGCATGATTTTTGTTTTTCCATATTTGTTAATATGTATCCCTTAGGTTGTTACCTTTCTCTTTGTGAAAATATGTCATTCTTGGTTGTAACCATCTATCTCCATTTATCTCCTTACATCGTTGTAACATTATTTGACATAGGCATGATGCCTGTAAGTATACTTGTCATTTTGTAAGCCCTAAGAACTCTCATCTTTGTTAAAGATGCATCTTTTTTAAGATCCTCTCCCATCTTTGTTAAGATGTACCCCCTTCTTTGTTAAGATGTACTTTGGTTTTTACCTTTCATTAAGTCTTGTAAGAACTCCCCTCTTTCATAATATTGTGCTATCTTGACGCTTACATGATTTTTGGTTGTAACCATTTGTATCAATTTAATCCTTGCTTATTGTAATATGCTTGCTTGCTTGGTTGTAACCATATTCCTTGTATTCATCATGCTTATTTTTTTAGTACTTTGCTAAGTGTTTCTTCCCCAAGTGATGGAACTCTTTAGTTCTCATTCCAGTTGCCTCCTCTTCCCTTCCAAAGGAAAGTCTCTCTATTGACCCTTGGGTCATAGATAGCTCAATAACCTCATAGGTCTGGATAGAACCTTCTCCCCCTTTTGGTCTGGATAGAACCAATAGGATTTAACTCGTAGGTCTGGATAAAACCTTTTCCCCCCTTTTGGTCTGGATAGAACCATTAGGATTTAACTCATTAGGCCTGGATAGAGCCTTCTCCCTCTTTTTGGTCTGGAAAGAACCAATTGACCCTTATTCTGTAGTTCGTGCCCGAACTACAACCGCTCTGATTTCTCATTGGACAATGAGAATACGTAGGCACAAGATGCGATATCTTGACGAGCAACCTTCCCCCTTCTCCCACCTTTTGGTCTGGATAGAACCAATTGGTCTTACAACGTAGAACTTTAGGATAGAGTTTGGTTAACTCTATGTAACAATCATGGATATGATTACTTACTTCCCTTTCTTGAGAGTTCAACATAGATCTAGAGAGTTTCGTAAAACTCTACACAAGCATGGATATGTTTGTTCCCCTTTGAACCTTGATCATAATCAAGTGTTCTTCATCCCTAGTGAGGTGAACTACGATTGCTCTGATTCTATCCTGGTAAGGATACGTAGGCAGAGAAGGTGATGTCTTTGCGAGCAAACTTAGAAACTATCCTTAGGTCTTAACCTACACCCCTTATCCAATCCCAATCCATAGCAAATATTTAGAAAACTTAGCATGCAAATAAACAAAAGGTTCCTGTAGAGTACTACAAATGTTTAGGATGTGAAATACCTACCATATGCATAACCAACCCCTGATCCCCGAATCTCTTAGCGTTGTTGTTACATCACGAAAAGGGTTTTTCTTTCTTTAGACCTTTCCTTTGGATAAATTAAAGTCCGGTTGTGAATTTAAGAATTAAAGATTCAAGTTAATCAATAGCTTGGTATCACGATTCTCACCGTAACAGGCGGGACGCTAAACATGAGTACGGCGACTCATATCCTAAGGTTAGGAAAACAGGTAAAGGATGTCCACGGCGAGATGCTAAAAGTGAGTATGACGACTCAGATCCTAAGGCTAGGATAAAAGGGTAAAGGATGTCCACGACGGGACGCTAAAAATGAGTACGGAGACTCAGATCCTAAGGCTAGGATAAAAGGGTAAAGGATGTCCACAGCGGGACGCTAAAAGTGAGTACGACGACTCAGATCCTGAGGTTAGGATAAAGGGTAAAGGTAAAGGATATCATCTGTGACAAACATGTCACAACAATGTAAAAAGAAGGTTCAAAACTTCATGGGGATAATGACAGCTTTTAAAGGTCACTAGTGGAAAAACTGCTTGTTAAGTCGGTTAAAAATGACTTCTTAAGACGGTTTCGAACCTGACCTAAGAATTGTTCTTAAGTCGGATTTAGACCTAACTTAAGAAAATGTTATTAAGTCAATTAAACAGCGCCCGACTTAATAAGTCTTGACTTTCAGATATATTTAATTGACCTAACAAGTCAATTTTTTTTGTAATAACACTTTTTTTAGTGTTTATATATATATATATATATATATATATATATATATATATATATATATATATATATATATATATATATATATATATATATATATATATATATATATATATATATATATATATATATATATATATATATATATATATATATATATATATATATATATATATATATATATATATATATATATATATATATATATATATATATATATATATATATATATATATATATATATATATATATATATATATATATATATATATATATTTTAAAGAATCGGTTAACAATCAAAATATTTTAAATATTGGAATGTTGGAAGTTCATAACAATGCAAAGCCAGTATTGCTAAATTTGGTTTATTAACCAAATTCATAGTTTTTACAAATTGCAAGTTGTATCCGAAATTTACAGCTTGGAAACGGGACTCAATTATGAAAATTTCTAAAGCTAAGTTGTTACATGAGGAACAAGTCATTACGTAAATCCTACGAAATCCATAGAAACACAAGCGACCATTTGTTTGAATAGGCTTTTCGCATTGAAGCATTCCCAAGGACTCTGCCGAGCGAAATACATGTTGCTATGGTGCTTGGTATATCTCGCGGTAATCACCTATATTTGAACAAACAATGAAGATTGAGTAACAGCTGACGGCAGACGATATCTGAATGCCAAACCAATTGCAAGAATAAAAATCAATGGCAATTGTTTTCTCACTTACTCATTTCCCTCACGGTTCAGACTTGTGTTGACAATAGGATCTTTAAGATTAACAGTTGCTTGAGATGCAAAGCTTCCGTGCCGAGACAACATACTATGTAATAGCATGCTACCTTGCCCATTCACAGTTTGAGAAATCATTGTAACTCCCTCATTAGGTCCATATAATTTTATACAATTTTTTCCTGCTTCTTGGTTGATAAGGATCTCACTAGCTGGAGCAACCATATATTCTTCTATGGATATGTCTTCAACCCCAGGACTGAGACCCTCCGCGAGCAAATCCATTTCCCCTATAAATCAAAGACAGTAGATTCCTAATCAGTTGTGTTACAGAAAACATAAAGCTAACAAAACAAGCAAAGGCTAATTAAGTGTAACCTGAGACATCATCAACACGGCAAAGTCTTTTCAAAACTTTCTCAGCCTCAAGGATTCGACCTTTGCTTACAAGCCACCGAGGAGATTTAGGGAGGTAAAACACAGTCAACAAAAAATAAACAACAGAAGGAATAAAAATAGCACTAAGCATAACTCTCCAACTAGGCGACGGCATCAAGGACATTAAGAAAACAAGAATGTAAGCCAAAAACATTCCAACAGAACAAGAAAACTGTGCAAGAGTGTTCAATTGTTCTCTAATATCAGGTGGTGCTATCTCAGATATGTAAAGTGGATTAAAAGTAACAGCTAGAGCAATGGCCACGCCTTTGATAATCCTTGACAAGATATAATTATGCTCTGATGTCTCACTTTAGACCATATAGGAAAAAACTGATGTCTCACTTTAGACCATTGTTTTAAAAATGAGACCATAACGATTTGATTTCTAGTCCGATTTATAAATAATGGCCTAAATTGAGCATATATAAATCTAGACAGTCCTCATCTATCAAATCTATTGATGGATAAAAAAAACTCACCAGTGTGGTGAAAAGGACAACAATAATGGTGTTGGTAATCATTGTCGCTTTAACAGGGTCTGAAGTAACCCCAGAGAACATGAACTGTATAAACAAAAAAAAAATGAAAATTCAATGGTACTCATTATGCTAAACTGGTATATAACTAGGATGTCTAGAAATGAAAATGTCGTGAACATACCTGTTTGAAAGCCAAAGCGATAGAGACTGCTCCGCTCATTAGTCCAGCCCACCAAATGATTATTTGTATCATTCATAAAACATAAGAAACCAATCTAAAAACTATTTTCTCAAAGATAATTGTGACACTACAAGACTATCATATAAAACAGGAATAGTAAGTAACCTGGTGTTGTAATGTGATACTCGGTGTTTCTTTGACGCGCCTATTCATATAATTGACAAGTGTGGAGAGGGGGGAAACAAATGCAGCCCTCCCGAGCAATATTAAGAAGACTAAGCAACTGTAAATTCCCAACAAATTTCCAAATCAGCAATGAAGTTGACAAGAAAATATTTATGTCACAATGAATCTCGCAAGTTATCTATTTTACAAATTTACTTTATTCAAAATCAGTTTTAGTCATCGTAGAACCAAAGATACACTTAATTGTACAGAGTCATAAACAAGTATAGTACCTTAAATGGGTCATCCTCCACTTTTCCATGTCAAGGGCATCCACACCCACATAAAGAAATATGAAATTTTCTGCAATAAACGACATTGTTGCAAACACATGCCTGGAGAAGAGAAACCAAAATCAAAAACCAAGACCATGAGTCGGGAAATTACTAAACTCTACCATGGACTAACCAAATACCTGGTTGTGGTTCTTGAAATTTCAGTCACATTATGCCATACATAGTGTGACATTGATATTCCACAAAAGAAAACAGTGAGGATTCCACTTAGTTCAAGTAGCTGTATAAGAATTTTTTGTTTAGATGGACGGTGAAAAAAAAAGTATCTAAACTTAATAAAAAGCAAAAATCTCTAAGTTATACGACTGTCTGTTTTGACAAACTTATTTGAATTTTTCTGCCATTATAAGTACTTATATAAAAATTTGATAAATAGCTTATTTGCAGCTTATAGAAAAAGCAGTTATCTTGATAAACACTTATATATAAGTTTACATAAGGTATTTCTACAGTAAAAGATAAAATAAAGTTAAATTGTTTTCATAAATTCTCCAAAACAATCTCACAAAATCTATGTCACTACATAAGCTCAAATAAGTCCATCTAAATAGACCCTATATGGAACTTATGAAACAACTTATTTTTGTTGTAGAAATAGCTTATACATAAGAGCTTACTAGTATTTAATAAACACTTATTTTTTTAAGTGCTTAACTAAGTTGTTTATTCAAACTAGGCCATAGTTCTTTAGGCTTGTAACTGGTTTGAAATCAATAAAAGACAAAATAGTGAGCATCCAATACCTCCGCCAACATGTAGGATAGATATGCCATTAACATCATCATTGAAATTTCACGAACACTTGAATGTTTGCATGCATATGCAGGGGAAAACTTGTTAACTTGTCCTCAAATTTTCACCTTCATAACTCAAGAATATGAAATGGGATTGTCAAACTTTGATGTTTACATTTCAGATTAATCTTTAAATATTATTTTTAGAGAGCTTATAGAGAAAAATGTACATACTTTCCAAAGCACCACAACATTACCAAACCACCGGTGATAAACATAACAGAAGATGTTATCAACATAGGTCTTCTTCCAACCATATCAGAGATTGTTTCGGAAAATATGGTGACAACAGTTGCAGTTATAAAAGACATTGACACAATCAACCCTTCAAGTGATTGATCCTTTTCCAATTCAAATTCTTGTTTAATGTAGGTCATAGCCCCTGCAGAACAGGCACAAATATACATTTTAAACTGAAAATACTATACAAGTAGATGAGAAAGGATTGAAAAAAACAGAAACCTGCAATGGCTGAACTTTCCCATCCATTAAGTAGATTCCCAAGTGTAGCAAAAACAACAATAATCACAACCTCCATCATATTTTTGTCAGCTACTCCCTGCAGAACACAGAAGAAGCATAACATATTGCAACAAACACAATAGCAGAATTAAGACCAAAACGGGCAAGCCTTTGAAGAGATCGCGTCGTAAGGATCAACTCCAACATACATCACCTCCTTGCAGAAGTCACCATCAAGCAAGACATATCAGTAGCAAAGATCAACTGAAAGACTAGAATATAATGAAGGAGGTTCAAGCCCTCAGAACTTTAAAGCTCATCACCGGGCATAGAACTCAAGCATCCGGAAGAGCAACGGAGACCGTCACCAACTTCCTACCTAGCTCAGAGATAACATAGCAACAGAGGAAACTCAGGCAACAAAATGGAAGCAACAGTGACTATAGGTCTCTCAGCTCAGACGAAGCATCATCACCGCCGGTTCAAAATCTTCCTCAGCGGGCTCAAGATTAAAGTAGTATCCGAACTCAAAGGCGTAGACTTTCCCGCTAAAAAAAAGAGAAGAAGAAGAAGAAGAACATTAGATAGAATCAGCTCAGAGCAAGAATCTATCAACAAAAGCAGCAAAGAAAAACCCACAAAAGGAATCGGAAAAAAATCACGAAAGAAGCCGCTATTACAAGAGAAGCAGAAAAGCTCAAACCGGAGGAGACTCATCACCGCTGTGAGGCTCAAATCATGCTCGAGGATTCATCATTGCCTCACCGCCACTGTTAGTGAGTCGCCGCCGACTCTTATTCTTGGGTAAAAGCTTGTTTTCTTCAAATCACTTTTGCATGTTTGATCTTTGTTGAGCTGTAGGTTAACCACCAAGGCGCGAAGCAACAAGGAGAATAAGAACGGAGAAGCCGCGAAGTTCCAGATGAAGACGAGGAGATCGCAAAGTGAGAAAGAAGGCATTGGAACGACGTTGGAGGAAGGATAGTTTGATTAGGGTTTCTAGTTTGTTTAAGGATACCGAATTCGATTCCCTCTGGTGCACACAGAATTTAATTTGTTTCAAGTAAATAAAACTTCTTAGGTTAGGTGGAAGACACCTAACTTAATAAATTGATTTTTTAAGTCAGTTAGTAAGCACATATGACTTAAGAAATTTAAAGTGAATTGTATATTTTTTATTTAATTTTTGTTAAATCTGTTTTAAATGCACCCAACCTAACTAAGTTACAAATATTTACGAAATTGCCACCGCATCGCTTCTTAAGTCACGTGGTAAGTTAACTGACTTAACATCCTTTACTAAAAAGTAATTTTTCTACAAGTGGGTGAACCACTTAAATGCGTACAAGAAAAGTTGAAATTCAAACTTGAAATGCACAAGGAAAACAACAAACCAAGTTCATGTCATCTTCAAATAAAACTCAAAGAGGAGAAAAAGTCAAAGTTTTGGAAATGACGAAATGAGAGGTAGGAAAGTGAAAACCCTAAAATGAATTACAAATTTCTTTAACATAAAGTGTTTCTAAAAATGGGTTTTTAGAATTATTTAAACATTTTATGAAAGTATGCAATAAAATAAAAAATTAGCAAAAAGAATCAATTTAAAATGATTAAAAATAAAGAAGTTATGGAATTTTAAAATTTAAATGGAATTAAATAAAATTAAATAAATCATGTGCTAAAAATAAAGAGAGTGCCTCACCCAAGGCTTGAACCCAAGACCTTGGGGTCATAGGCTTAAAAAAATACCAACTCAACCATCATGCGCATGTGAAATGAAATGGAAAAAGAAAGTAAAATATTAAAATGGTGAAAAATAAGCAAAAACGCTCTCACTGAGGGTCGAACCTGGGATCTCAGGCATGGCAAAGTACTTATAGGCAAGGCATTAACCAATGGGGTGGCGATACATCCAATGTATCAAGCCACCCCATTTAAATATGTACCATAGGGCGTGTATTTTTCTGGGCATGTTCAAGGCAAAACCAAGTGATAACTTCAAAAACGGTTTCAACATAACTCTCTCAAATCTTACTCAAATTCAGTGAAATTTAAATCAAAACTGATTGTTTTTCCATGAGGATTACAAAGGTCCACACCAAATTTTAAAAGGATACCCCTAGCTGAAAACATGATTGTTCATGCAAATGGGATGTCTTGAGGTGCATTTTGAGTTTAAATGATCAAAACATATGCTCTTGGAGATATGTAAAGGTCTGAGCATGTTTCAAATATAGTATGGAATAAGTTCCAACAGGAATTTGGTTTAGAAAAGCAAAAGAGCAGAAATTTGGTATGTGAGTTGTAATGAACATGAATTTAAACCAAGACAAAGTGACCAACCTAGGTGAGTTCATGATTCACACCAGTCTGCTCAAGTTTGAAAAGCAAAACTCAATGATTAAATTCAAAGGGAGAAATCAGTTCCCTACTGAATCCAATGTGGCTGTCAATTGGCAAGTAGGTGAAATTGGTGGTAATTAAAATTAGTGCTTAAAACAAAATCCAAAACAGTACTACCAACATGGCAGCGAGTTTAAGAACATAATAAAGTTCAAATAATCCAACTTAATCTCAATACAGTCCAGGATCCACACATACCACAGTAATGATGAACCTCCAAAACAAATTATGCACACAAGATTATGTTGATCATTACAGCCACCATGTAGATCAATCCAACAGAAGTCAAAGACACCAATACATTGTGGCAAACTGGAAGCTAAAGATTCACAACATGAGAGTTCTTGACAAGAGGTAAAGATTTATGATGCTAAGCATCAGCTCATGGCAGAATTCAAGTATAAACAAAGAAGCAATCATGGCAAGGGCAGGCATGTTATGCTTTAAAATAACAGTCAATGGCACCAAATGAAGGAGATGTTCTCAAACAAAGATATCAACTCATAAAACTGAAACAGATCCTATCATGGTGTTCTCAACATCATGCATCAACCAACTAACAAAATTCTGGTGGAATCTAGGTTGACTAACCTCCCTACAAACTTGGATAGCAAGCTAAGCATCAGTCCAATAGGTCCACCAATTATCATCCATTCTGCTAAGAATTCAACTAGACTCATGATGGCAGTCTTCCCCTCATCAAAGCTCACCTACTGATCATATCCCTCTAGCCTCAACCAGCCTTCCTATAACACTAAACAAAGCTCAGCATACCTAAGACATTCAAGTTAAACTCTCACTGTCTGCATTAGAAATTCCACAATTCTCATGACCAAAAAACTGGTTCTCCATCTCTGCTCCAAACCAACATTCTTAGGTGGCAACCACAACAATAACCAACTACTTTATCATGAGAACTAAACTGATAGTAACTAAACTTGAGTTGATAAGCTCATGTTCTCAAACACAAATAAAGACAGCAGAACCTGGCCTGGACATGCCAAGAAACCAACTTGAACCAATCAACTGAAACCTAAACAGTCTAAAGCCACAATTCAAAGGTATAGCACTAGCACTAGGCAACAATAAGATTCTGATATTACAATTCCAAACAGCTGCAAATTCCACAAATGTCAATGACAATTTTGGTTATTACAATGCACTCATCAAACACTAAGTCCTCCTTTTGTTCTTTAAAGACAGTCACCATAATCAACGGAGCAAAGGGTAATCATCAATTAATGGCAAGGTAAAAAGAGTGTGGATGGAATCAAACTTAAACCAGAAAAGTCTAATAGCATGACTGTAGGTTCAAGACATAACTATGTTCAACAAGTCTAAAAACTAATGATAGTAGCATAACTGAACTTAAGCAAGAAAGACTTGGTTTTAGCATCAACAAGGCACACTTGTCTCAATCACTATGCCTTAAGCCTAGGTCTCAAACAGACATTCACAAATCCAACAGCACCCTCAAGACAGCATAGTTAGAAGTTTCTAAACATAAAGATTCAAGAAGTTGGTTTGAAAACAAACACACAAACAACCATCACAATGCAAGCACTAAATCAACTACGGTTCAACAACATAAATCCAACTGTCATAAAAAACAAGCTATGCAAAATATCCTATGCCTGCACCACTAAGATCAAATATCAACATACTCAAAAGTATGCCTTCCATATTGTCGCTACTTGAAAAATACAACGACGGGGAGGCGAAACGAAAGACAGAAGAGTCGCCACCGAACTTTATTTATCCCATGAGGAAAAAGGAAAATATCAAGAAAACCTTAAGAAATGAACGGATAAGATGGTCTCGCAACCAAGAACAGGTTCGGAAGCCGGTTATTCAAAGGGAAGGTATTATCACCTCTCGCATCCATCGTACTCAATGGGAACCATTTGTTTGTCGTATGTGTGAATGTATTTTCTAAAAGGTATTGCTTTCAAGAGTGTTCCAACGGGGTGAAGAGAAGGGTTAGAAATAGGGAAAGAGAGGTAACGGGGGAAGAAGAGACTCGGTAGGACTTCTCAGTCCTAGGCTTACATATTCTCAACAGATATGAGAAGTCAGAGTTGACGTAGTTCGGGGAACTACAGATATGGGAGAATGTGCTCGGCAAGGATTGTGGCCCTTGTGCCTACGTATCTTTACTTGAAACAAGTAAAGAATCAGAGCAGCCGTAGTTCGGCCTACTACGGTTTGCGGGGAAGTTCTGTTAGACGAGGCTATCGTGCGTATTCTAGCAGTTTAGGCATATTGCTGCTCGCTCGTTGGAGACTTAGGCGTTACTTGTTTGCGGTAGAACGGACGTAGCATGTCTTTCTGGGAAAGGGTGGAAAAGAAAAAAAAGTGCGCTCTCCAAGACATCGTCGTCTTGTGCCTATGTATTCTCAACATGTATGAGAAATCAGAGCAACGTAGTTCATGAAATCGGTAACCGGTGTTTTTGTGGATGATGTTAACGTAGCGCGTTCTAGCAGTTTAGGTGTATTGTTGCTCACTCGTTTGGAGACTTAGGCGTTACCTGTTTGCGGTAGAACGGACGTAACATATCCTTTTTGAAAGGTTGGTTTTCGCCATGCGAGGCAAGATGTCACGTTTGGTTTATGAGAGTTATTTGTTAGGAGTGAAATATATCATCGGATAGTAACCCCATGTGGGTAGTACTCA